GAAGAGAAGAAAGTGCAACGGCGCAAGGCTCAGTCCCCTAGCGAGGGAAATTGCCAGTACAGAAAGTAAAGAGAGGTAGTGCGACACTCTCTGACGAAACGTGCGCGCAGTGGTACGATGCGGGGATCGTGTGGTAGCTCCGCTACTAGTGTGATTATGATGCGTTTTAGCGCAATGGCATATATACACGTGACACATGTACTATCTCACACTCCTCCACCTCCTCCTCCTCCTCTTCCTCCTCCTCCTCCTCCTCATCATCATCATCATCATCATCATCATCATCACCATCATCATCATCCTCCTGCTCCTCCTCCTCCTCCTCATCCTCCTCCTCCTCCTCCTCCTCCTCCTCCTCCTCCTCCTCCTCCTCTCCTCCTCCTCCTCCTCCTCCTCTCCTCCTCCTACTCCCACTCCGCCTCCTCCTCCTCCTCCTTCTCAACCTGCGCCTCCCCCTCCACCTCCCCTCCTCCACCTCCCCCTCCTCCTCTTCTTCTTCTCCTCCTCTCTCCTCCTCCTCCTCCCCTCCTCTCCTCCTCCCTCCCTCCTCCTCCTCCATCCTCTCTCTCCCGCCCTCCCTCCCTCCCGGCCTCCTCCTTCTCCTCCTCCCCCTCCTAGCCATCATCATCATCATCATCATCATCATCATCATCATCATCATCATCATCATCATCATCATCATCATCATCATCATCATCAGCAGCAGCAGCATCATCATCATCATCATCATAATCATCAGCAGCAGCATCATCATCATCATCCTCAACGCGATCGTCATCATCATCATCATCATCATCATCATCATCATCATCATCATCATCATCATCATCACCATCATCATCATCATCACCATCATCATCATCAGCAGCATCAGCATCAGCATCATCAGCATCAGCATCAGCATCAGCTTCATCAGCAGCATCATCATCATCATCATCAGCAGCGTCATCATCATCATCATCATCATCATCAGCAGCAGCAGCATCATCATCATCATCATCAACATCATCAGCAGCAGCAGAAGCACCCTCATAATCATAATCATCGGCATCATCATCAGTATCATCATCATCAGCATCATCGTCATCATCATGACTATCCCCATCACCATCATCAGCATCAGCATCATCAACATGATCGTCATCAGCAGCAGCATCATCGTCATCATCAGCACCATCATCATCATCATCATCATCATCATCATCAGCATCATCATCATCATCGTCAGCATCAGCATCATCATCGTCGTCGTAGTCGTCGTCATCGTCATCGTCATAGTCGTCGTCATCGTCATAATCAGAATCATCATCACGATCAGCATCATCAATATCATCATCAGCATCATCATCATCATCAGCATCATCACCATCATCACCATCAGCAGCAGCATCCTCATCAGAATCAGCATCATCAGCGTTGTCATCGCCATCGTCATCGTCATCGTCATCATCATCATCGTCGTCATCATCATCAGAATCATCATCATCATCATCATCATCATCGTCATCGTCATCGCCATCGTCATCATCATTATCATCAACGAGAACAGCGACAACAACAACCATAACAGCAACGAAAACAGCAGCAACAACAACAACAACCACAACAACATCAGCATCAAATACAACAACAAAAACAGTAGCAGCAACAACAACAATAACACCATCATGATCGTCGTCGTCATCGTCATCCTCATCGTCATCATCATCATCATCATCGTCATCGTCATCATCAACATCATCAGCACCACCATCATCATCATCGACGTCAGCAGCAGCATCAGCATCAGCATCATCAGAATCATCTTCATCAGCAGCAGCATCATCGTCATTACCACCACCATCATCATCGTCGTCGTCATCTTCGTCGTCAGCGTCACACTTCTCGCGCTGCACCCCCTTGCCCTCCTCCCGCCACGACAGCAGGCGGAAGTCAGCGCACGGGCCCTGCCACATTCGCCGAAGGCCGATACGCCGAGGTCGCACTGACCTCGCCACACTCGCCTCCGAATTTTCAGACCATCCTCACGGTAAACACTGCTATTCGTGCAGACCTCCAACCGTGCATGGGCTAGTGGCCCTTGCGCACTGCTCGTCTCCAGACGCAGGCCCTGACCCCGTGACGCGATATCATCAGCAGCAGTCGCGCACACGAGGAGCGGGAGGGGGCCATAGCGAGAGCGTCCGCTCATAAGCATCATTTCGACCGCCGACATCACCACTGGCATTGCCATGATCAGCCAACACTCGTCGAGGATAGCCATCACCACCACCGTCATCATCGTCATGGTCGACGACGTCGTCGGCATCATGGCACCATGACAGCCCTCATCATCAGCCATCCTTCGTCATCATCGTCACCAAACGTTTCACCATCATCATCATCCTCATCATCCTCATCATCCTCATCATCATCGGCATCATCGTCATCATTATTATCATCATCGTCATCGTCATCGTAATCACTACCATAAATACCACACCAAAGGTCTTATTGGGCT